TATATTTTCTAAAAACATATTTAATTATTGTAATTGTATTCTTGAAAATTGAAATGGATGCCTATTTTTGTAAATAATCCTTGTTTTATAAAGCTAAACAAAATGTCTTGGTTTCTGAAACTTTCCTAAGGCCAGCCATCCTTTCCTCCACCACATCACCCATAAAACTTCTGACTGCTTCTCACTGAGCAGCCTGGGGCAGGCAAGCAATGCTGCACCCACCTGCTCCTCTTCCTGTGTCCACATTTTCTCTCTTTGTCAGATGCATCCTCTGTCCTCTGCTCAGTTCCTACAGTCTTTGGATGGGGGAACAAGGCCTCGATTCCCCTTCTGGTTAGGAAACCCAAACCTTGTCAGGCTCCTTAAGGAAGGCCAAACCTGATTTGGACAATGACCTGACAATTCCTGAGAATATGACTGACACGAGCATTATGCTTTATCAGACTGCTCTCTGAGATCATGTGGGCTACATGTTAACTTAGGAGAAATGTCAGCACTTGTAAAGTATTAGAAAACTGAGCCCCAGGTAACTGGCTTGAGATGTTTCTTCCTCAGATGCTCATCTGAATCTCTCATCCAAGGACAGATTGGTCGCAGTGTGTACAAAGGTTAATATTTTCCAACTTCAATCTGTTCAGCAGGTTTGGAGAAACCCAGACATTCCAAGATGGAAGAAGCCCTGATACAGAAGTAGAAATACATTTATTCACTAGTAGTAACTGATTGGGGAAGGGTTAGGTAGGATGAAGAATTGAGTTGCTCTCATGACCATGTAGTTAAAATCCTCTGTGATCTACTTTCTCAGATTTTGATAGTATCCACATGGGGGTATTAACTATGAAAGTCTGAATTTAGCCTTTACATAAATCTTTGGCTGCACATTTTTTTTTCTCATACATTGCTGGCAGAACTACAAACTGGCAACCACTATGGGTAGCAGTATAGACAGTCCTCAGAAAACTTGGAATGGAACCACCATTTGACCCAGCGATCCTGATCCTTGGTCTATACTCAAAGAACTTAAAATCAGCATACTATGACGATGCAGCCACATCAATGTTATGTCAGTTCAATTTACAATTGCTAAGGTATGGAATCAATCTATGTGCCTTTCAAAAGACGAATGGATAAAGGAAATGTGATACATATACACAATGGAATATTACATCAGCCATAAAGAAGAAATTATGGCATTTGATAGTACATGAATTGAACTAGAGAATATCATACTAAGTGAAATAAGCTGATCCAAAAAAAAAAAAACAAAGGCCAAATGTTCTCTATTATATGAGGATGCTGACATAGGCTGAGGGGAAGGGAGTGGGGGGAAAAGAAGGGATGAGAATGAGAAAGGCAATAGAATGAATCAGACATAACTTTCCTAAGTTTATATATGAATACACTACCAGTATAACTACACAGCATGTACAACCACAAAAATGGAAAGTTATACAACATGTATATATATGGTATGTCAAAGTACATTCTACTGTCATGTATAATTAAAAAGAACAAATTCAAAAAAGAAGTATGAAAGTCATTCTAGGAGTAAAGATTAGAGCACTGAGTTCCCCCATTAAAAATACAGAAAGATCCTCCAAATAATCTAACATTAGACCCCAAAGTCCAAGAAAAATAAGAGCAGAGTGATTCCAAAATCAATAGAAGACAGGAAATAATTAAGATCAGAGCCAAAATTAATGAAACTGAGAATAAAAAAATTACAAAGTATTAATGCCACTAAGACTTGGTTCTTTGAAAAGATAAACAAGGTTTATAAGCATGTAGGAAGAAGAAGAAGAAGAAGAAGAAGAAGAAGAAGAAGAAGAAGAAGAA